GACACAAAGTCATGCGTTTAGACTGGAAGAAAGAATATTTTGTCTAAGGCATAGAAAAGGTTTTTTTACTGTAAGAACAATAAGGATGTGGAATTCTCTGCCTGAAGAAGTGGTTTTATCAGAGTCCATACAGATGTTCAAACGGTAACTAAATGCATATTTGCAAAAACAGAATATTCAAGATTATAATTTTTCAATGTAGGGCAATAACTTCTTGATCCAAGGATAAATCTGGCTGCCATTCTGGGGTCAACAAGGAACTTTTTTCCTTGTTTGTTGCAAAATTGGAAGTGCTTCAAACTGGGTTTTTTTGCCTTCTTTTGGATCAACAGCAAAAAACAAATGTGAGGAAGGCTGAACTTGATGGACGCAATGATTTTGAGCCCTTTTAGAGCTTTTAGAGACTTTAAAGATCAATTTTTCCAAGTCCTATATCTTAAACATTAACATGCCCAACGGCCGTGGCACCCCCCTTCATCACAGCTTTACATATCAGTGGGTGGACCAAAGGATAAGATATCTGGGAACGTGGTTGACTAAAAGAAGTCGCGACCTATTCAAGGATAATTTAGCTCTTTTACTGGCTACATTTAGGCTGGAGATGGCGGAGTGGTCCTACCCACACATATCATGGGTAGGCAGAGTCCGGTCATAAAAATGAACTTCCTCCCCGTCTACTCTACCTGCTGCAGGCCATCCACATCATGATCCCAAACCCTTCCTCGCCTCTCTCCGTACAACAATGGGACATTATGTCTAGAACGGGAAAAGACAGAGGGTTAGACTTCCCACACTTATGCAGCATAAGGAATAGGGGGCCTAGCAATGCCTGACTTCCACCTCTACTATGTGGCCTGCCACCTCCAAAGGGTAATGGAATGGAATAAGATTAATGTCAACAAGCTATAGAAGGTAGTGAAGGCTACAGAGGTAAGCAGACCGGTTTCTGTCCTGCCATGGCAACCTGGGGAGGGCAGAAAGAGGTAGGCGTTCCCTATACACACGACACCCCCTAAAAGAATGGCAGAGGGTGTCATAATCCTCCCCCTTGCTCCCCCTGACACATAACAAAGACTTCCCACCCGGACTTGACCCAAGTGCATTCCGAGACATATTATGTACACCCACTTCCCGACTTCACTACATCCACAACCAGGACAGCTGTAGAAAGTTAACGGACCTACTGGGGGGAGCCATTCCCACCTTCATACAGAAATTTAAGTACAAACTGACACATTTTATTAATACCCGTCCTAAAGGACAAGCACTCTACAAGGAACCCACCACATTTGAAAAAAATTGCATGCACCCGTACCCTCAGCCCAATGGGATATACTTTATATACTCCATGCTACAGGGGGAAACCCTGACAGAAAATTCCCCATTTATGGAGAAATAGGAAACAGCTCTGGGCAGAACATTTACTGAAAAAAGAACCCCACCCTTCTTTATCCCTATCCCTTGCCCCCTCTTTGTAATTCTCTACTTCTTTTCTCTTCTTACTTGTCCTTCTATTCTCTCTCAGTATCTTCCTTGAGGTGGGACACCTGAAGATTGGACCCCTGAGACAGGACCCTCCATAACAGGGAATCACAACCCTAAGTACTACATATTGACATGCGATTGGAACCAAACATTTTGATCAGGATCCCTACTATCAAGGGTGCACATACAATCACTCGCATTACTCCATAAGATCCAAAGAGCCTGGTCCCTAAGGGATGGGCTCTTTGGACCCATGGCGAGGGCTGCCTCCCCGGTTACTCTGTCCCCAGATGACGCACTTGATATACGAGAAATGAAAGGGACACACCACGTGTTGATTTTCATCACATGAACAAATGCTACTGTATGTACACTCTGGGACCTGCATGTTCAACAAAATGATGTTGCCTCCTAAAATCTTGAGACCTGCGAGTCTCCGAATTGTATCTCAAACTTGTTTGCATATCTTCTTGAAATTATGTCTCAATACAAGAAATGACCTGCTTTATTACATGTAAAACAAAATGAAACATGCAAATGTTACATAATTTTGCATGAATCAAATGCCTAAGTAAAAATAATACATTATATAATAATATAATAATATTTAAAAAAAGTATTTTAAAATAATAAATTTAGTAATTTAATAACTTTTAATCATTGCTTAGGTTATAAAGTATAGAGTACTGTAGTTCCTGTTTCACTGCCAGTACAGTTTAATAATTGTAGTGATATGCAAAGATTGCTGTAAAGACTGTAAAACTTGAATTCTCTTTTATAATTTCAGGCAAAGATCAATTGTGTCATGTGGACTCTGGATGTGGGCAAGCTAAGCATATTTATCATTTCTTCTCTATAGCAAGGGAAGTGTCTCGGGAGATGTTTGGATTTTTACGGGTCCACACTGGCCTGAGGTTTATGGCAAAGCACCAACAGGCCAGAGAGACTCCTGAGGGGTGGATTGAGCTTTTTCTTGGTTTAGGAGGGGTCTGCCTTCTGCAGATACTGGCCTGTGTAAGTTCTGTAGTTTTATATAAATGAAATGTGACAATTGTTTTGCATTAACTGAAATTTTATATATTTGTAATGCATTATATTTAGAATGCATTAAAAACTGGGGCTACTACCCATTATACCCAGCATTCATGTAGATTATCCTTGCCCTCACAATATTAGCAACATTGTGGTGGCTAAAAAATGTATCATCTATATTAACATCCCGGGGGGGAAACGGGACTGATACATGCCTGTAGTAGTCTAGGTTGGAGAGAAGCAATTTATTTTATTCATATAAAAAAATACTGCAAATATGCCTAATTACAACCTTAAAGGCTATTAAAGGACCACTATAGGCACCCAGACCTCTTCAGCTTAATGAAGTGGTCTGGGTGCCAGGTCCAGCTAGGATTAACCCTTTTTTCTATAAACATAGTAGTTTCAGAGAAACTGCTATGTTTATAATCGGGTTAATCCAGCCTATATTGGCTGTCTCATTGACAGCCGCTAGAGGGCTTCCGCGCTTCTGTGATTTTCATTTTCATGTGCGCATTCAGCCGAGGAGGAGGTGAGGAGGATGAGAGTCCCCCGCCCGGCGCTGGAGAAAGAGGTAAGTTTAACCCCTTCCACCCCCTAGAGCCCGGCGGGAGGGGGACCTGAGAGTGGGGGCACCCTCAGGGCACTATAGTGCCAGGAAAACGAGTATGTTTTCCTAACACTATAGTGGTCCTTTAAATACTTGGGTGAGATAACTATTAAGTTGGGTATACACCTTTAAAGCTAGTTTGTGATACAATTATTATATGAGATAATTATTAATAACATTATTTTTTTTATTCCCTTTGGATAATTTGTTACCAATGTTATTGATGTTGATCACATTTTAGTATATTGTTGCTAACATTCATTGTATATGATTTTAATTCATGAAAAGACACCATTTGGTTTAAAGTTTCATATAAAAAAATACATACATTCCCTCAGTAGGTTAGAATATACTAGAATGGTCTAATACTGTTTGTTTGTTTTTTGGAGGTGGGGATATTGTATTGCAGTAAGGATATCATAAATTGTTGTGTATTGATTTGGTTATTAGATGATTGCGTATATTAGCTATTTTTAGTGGTATCTCTGTATTAATGCAGATTCTTTAAAGTTGAATCGAACTTTGGCCAAATACAGTATTTCTTTTATTTATAATCAGAACATTATTTGTGTATTTATCAGATTTATTTATGAGAGACGACGGTAAATTGGAATAAAATGAATTATTTTCAATTTTGTAGACATTCTGTTTGGATCTTATGCTGAATTATATGTAGAAGGGTTCATTTCACTTTGGAGGTCTACTAACTAGGGCTTTGTTTGTTTTTTGTTTTTTGTTTTTTTTTAAAGAGAAAGCAAGCTGTTTAGAAAGTGTTGACATCCTTGAAATGCAACCAGCTTTACAGGCATGTGTCTGTCCTGTATGTTCCCTCTTGGTCAGTACATTTTTTCTTTTCACTTTTATCGCTTTCCATATATTTTTGTGGGGGGGGGGTTGTAACTATTTTAATATATTTAAATGGTAATAAAAAAAGGTGATAACCTTTATAACCACCATGATGTCACTTCCATTTTGAGTGAAAGGATAATCTACGTAAGTGTTGGGGGGATTAAGGGATTTTCCTTTATGATGCACCTTGGAGACAACTATTTGGGACAGTAAGTACTTTGCACATCTGCTCGTATAACTGCATTATTATATGACATTAGTTCCCAAGATGAAGGCAACACACTTTCTTCTAGCGATACGAATTCATACCTGAATGGGCACTGAGATAGGCTGTAAGCGGTCAGCTGACACTCCTGCGAACTCTTGTATAGCAATAAAATATTAAAAATGGTTTAACACTGAATGGCAGGATGGTGCCAGGGAAGACACTTCAATGAGATGAAGCACCATTAAAGGGACACAGTAAATACAGTTGTGTTGCTATAATATACTTTATATAGAATGGGCACCATCTCCTTTCTCTGTTTTCTCATGGCATCTAACCATACAGTGTATGTAGTAGTAGAACTGAAAGGTGAGTACCGTAAAAAATAATCAGTCCATCAATCAGTCAGATTGCAAAAAGAGATGGGGTGGAAGGGTGCTGCAGTGTTTACTTGCGTCATGTAAGGGAAATTCATTAAAGTAAACGACGAGTGGATGTGTTCATGTTGAGGTTAGCTTGAGTTATTTTAAGCCTCATTTGCCCATCCCTATTTTCATTCATAGATTTCCTCTTACAGTATTATTCATATATCTATTCCCTTCCCCCATGACTACCCACCAGCTATCACTCATTCATCGGTGTATCCATTTAACGCTTTCTGACGTCCACTGTCCCAGCTATGACGAACGACTCACCTGCTTTAAAAGGATTTTTTTTTAATAAACTAAGAACGTTCGCCCATGATTCCTTTTTTTAAGAACTGCAGAAAAATTAACAACTTATAAAGGAATAATAATTATTAAAAAGATTAGTTTTATAGCCAGGTCTATATGCTGCAAGTAAGGTCTGGAAAGAAGATAAGAACCTCTTGCACTGACTGGAACCAGCAAGATCTGTCCATCTATCCTGAGGTCCCCAGGTAAGAGCATGGCTTTTAACGTCTCATGAACAAGGCGTGACCATGTGGTTGTTATATGAATGGATATTGATGATGTTATACTTAGAGTAACATTATATTCTTTTTATTTTTTACCTAGAATTTTTTTTTTAATCAAAGATGATATTTGATTATTGAACCAGATACGTTGATTTAAAGACAGCATAATCATATTTTAGTTATATTTTAATATATTAGAATTTGTGTGCCTTCCTGATAATTGCTGAATAAAGAATTTTGGAATGTAAAAGCCAAAGACAATGGCAGTTACTCCCCACCCCACTTCTCCCAAGTTACCTCCAGATATCACTGGGTCGGTTCTAGCCAGTTATTTAAACATAGCATAACACTATAGCAGCCTCTACATCTGTTTCAGAATAGCCTTATTTAATAAAGCATGCACAAAATGTAAATATATTACTGTTATAACAGTAATCAGATAATCAATTACACTAAAGGTCATTGGGAAATATTTGCTGTATATGCTTATGTATTCTTCAATTTCCTCCTTTTGACAGAAAGGGAAGCAGAATGCAGTGTGCCTGGGAGTGAAGACTCGGTCTACTTGTATGAGTAAGAGGATTGGAGAAGAGCAGGGAAATCATCAGGAGCCTTGTGTGCCTGTGTGTGTACAGAAGGGTGTGTACAGAACAGATGCAGATTGGGGCAGAGAGTGCCTGTATGTACAGTGTATGGTATCTCCTCGATCAGGTGGAAGGATGCTGAGTTGAAGAATCTGCTGATCTAAGAACAGACCTAAGAACATGTAAGTAGTGCATTTATTTCAATACTCATGTAATATTATACCAATATCTTAGCATCAAAGCATATTAGTGATTTTTTTTTTTAAATCTCTGCAATTGAGCTTTAACATCCAAAGTTTCAACGTATTGATATGTGTTGAATAGCTGCTCATAGCAGTGCATTGCGAAGACTATGCACACAGCTGGTTAGTTGCTGTATATCTGTGAATTTTTAACTCCCTGGTTGTGCAATTACAGCTGAAGCCCCTTCCTTGATAAATTGCTGTGTAATGTTTTACTAGTTCCTCCGGCTCTGAAAGGGTTAAAGGTCAGAGAGCCAAGAAGATCTTAAGGCAGGATTATTGATAGAAAGTGATCACCCCTTTTTAACAATGACAAGAGACACCTGATCTGTGTCCCCAGAGACCCGTTCAGCTTTTAAAGAGTTCTATGGAAATGGTTATAAGAAGTGATGAATTCAGTTCCAAGAAGGCTAGGCAGCATGTTCACGCAAATGACACTACCTGTGATTACATAGGAAATATACATTCGTTGTACTGTGTGATGTGACTGGACCAGCCCAGTAAGATGCCCTGTTGAAGACACACTTGTTCGATCTTATATTTACAAGTGGACGACTTGTTGATTTTTGTGTCACTGCATGTGGATACAGTTGTGCCTTGGCTTTATTGTCCCAGAGACTGCATGTGTAAGATTGAACGTTCTAAGGAGTTATTCCGTTATAAAAATGGATACATTAATACATTGCCCATATTGTACATCCACAGATCCCCTCATGAAATAATCAGATCGAGCTATCGGAGAAGATGGCTTTCCACGTGGAGGGACTGATAGCTATAATAATATTCTATTTAGCAATTCTTTTCGTGGGTATCTGGGCTGCGTGGAGAACGAAAAACTCGCGTGGTGATGGAGACCCCAGGGAAGGGATTATTGTGGGGGGCAGAGACATAGGGCTGCTTGTGGGTGCGTTTACAATGACAGGTGAGTGTAATCTTGCAGAACCAAGACCGATTCACTGTACTTTGAATTTAAATAACAACAACAACAAAAAAATAACTAATGTTCTCCCGGTGTTGTGACAAGTTTACTGCTTCTTTGTGGCCGGTGGGGATTTATGTTGTAATTTTATTTTTTATAGCCTCAGCAAGCCTGTGTGCCTGACAGTGACAATATAATAATGCAAAAAAAAAAAATGTCAGAGCAAATGTAATATTTCAGGGATAGGTAAAAAAACATAAGGAAAATTATAAAGATTTGTATTAATGCAATTATGACAAATATTTGGTACTTTCTCAGAAGCCTGTGTTTCTTAAAGGCATATATTGTTTGGCAAATGGTCCCTTAAAAATGGTGGAAATTTCAGTTTATGTTAGTTAATGATATATGAAAAGCTGGTTTGTCAGTTTAGTATTTATTACTGTAGATTATTTAGTAACCAGTTTATAAACATTTCTTGTTACTTGTTTTCTTGAAGCCACATATAGTACATGATTTAAATATTATCGATTTTTTAACACTTCTTAATTTCTTTATATATTATTAACTTTTAAATTAATTTCACTTTTATTTTATCTATTGTTGATTTTTTTTATTTTATTTTTTTAAGATATAAATAAATATTTACACACTAGGCCATATATACAAATAATAATTTTGGAGCAAAAAATGTGATTAACAGAAAACTCAATTTAATATAATTTCTCTTTAAATACTTGCTTGCAGCCCATAATTCCTACAATATTTCACATGGAATGTGCTGTGTGTGAGACATAGAGCAAATATCAAACATTGAGCAGACATGTATTCACATCTGAATACTGAATATTATCATATAACTTTGTCACGCTGTCTGAAGTCTGTCACTGAAGAATCGCACTGGATTTGGAGCTTTACTTTCAATGGAGAGAAGCTCCATAGCCATCAATCTTTATCGGTTTTCTACGGAAACAGAGAAATGTAGAGAAATGCCAGTTGCATATTTTAGGCCAAAAGACTCCAAATGGTATATGTCTCCACTTCCCAGTTTCTTAAATTACCTCAACATTACATTTCAACATTAAACATACAGATGCACTCTTTAATTGTTTTAAATAAAAGTGCCCCTACTATAGTAACTGAAAATACAGATTCCCTTTTTAAAGATGTGTTCTAAATTATGATATCTCTTTAACTGGTTGCATTCACATTGCTAATATCAGCACTGGGACTGGTGATTAGCTCTGCTATTTGAAATGGGATTTATTGTGATGCCAAGATTTCTCACATGTAATTTCCAATTACAATATTTTTTTTAGCAACATGGGTTGGCGGAGGGTACATTAACGGAACGGCAGAAGCTGTGTTTGTTTCAGACTACGGCCTCGCATGGGCACAGGCACCCATTGGCTACGCCATCAGTCTGGTTGTAGGTAAGCCAAAATCTAATTGTCAGTATCAATATTTGTCTCAGTTAATACAAGTCATGGCTATTCTCAAATCAATTACTAGTGAAGGAATACAAATATACGGGAGATGGGAAGGCTAATGTATGGCTAATTTAATAACTGTAAATCTTTAGTCTCAGCTGCTATGAACAGCAGCACTTACTTAACTAAGCCTTTCAAACCTCATAGGAAGTGTCCTGTTTTATATTAAGCTTAATAGTTCATTAAAATAAATAACATAATGGGAAGGCTTAATAGAATGTAATAGTAATTAAAACGTGATTTACGTTAAAACTAAGGAATGCTTGATATGGCTAATGAAAATTAAGCTATTTACCTGCACTAAATTAGTTTATCCAAACATTTGGATATAACATCTTACAGCTCCGGAGTAAAAAATATATAATCTGGATTGAGAAAATATTAATAGAAAGATAATGGGTTTATTATTGAAAACCATATTAACTCTCTCAGTACCAAGATATTTGCAGAAGAATGACAACCAGAATCAAGGTCACTGGGATGGTCTTGAACGTAATATGTAAATATGTAATTTATGTTGGTATGCAGAAAAAGTGAATTTTCAATGAAATAAAAATATATTTTTTGAGTCTTGTGTAAGGTCAGGACAATTTTCAATAAATGACATGTGATGTGTAATGTTTTCCAGTTTTATCCTCTCATCCTAATGTGTGGCACCATCCTCTCTATACAAACTATTTCTTCCACAAATGCTATAACCATCTAATGTATGTTATATTTCACCCAAAGTAATTATCATCCATCATATTGTTGCCCTCCTACTGCAGCATTTCCAATCTTTTAACATCATGTGTTGTCCCATAGCCTTTACGTGATGTCATATTGTCTTGCATATGTTGCCAAAGGCTCCATATTTATTCATGTTTTCCCATATCATATTACCTCCAACATTGACCCCATAGGTTGCAGCTAGAGACACACACTAAAAGAGAGGCATAGAAACAATGAAAGATACACAGAGACCCACATACAGTAAGGGAAAAATGTATTTGATCCCCTGCTGATTTTTAACATTTGCCCACTGACAAAGAAATGATCAGTCTATAATTTTAATGGTAGGTGTATTTAAACAGTGAATGACAGAATAACAAAAAAAAAATCCAGAAAAACGCATGTCAAAAAAGTTATAAATTGATTTGCATGTCAATGAGTGAAATAAGTATTTGACCCTTTCGACTTAGTACTTGGTGGCTAAATCCTTGTTGACAATCACAGAGGTCAGACCTTTTTTTGTAGTTGTCCACCAGGTTTGCACACATCTCAGGAGGGATCTTTTTGTCCCACTCCTCTCTGCAAATCCTCTCCAAGTCATTAAGGTTTTGAGGCTGACCTTAATGTACTTCTTCTTGAGTCACTCGTTTGTTGTCTTCGCTGTGTGTTTTGGGTCATTGTCATGCTGTAATACCCATCCACGACCCATTTTCAATGCCCTGGATGAGAGAAGGAGGTTCTCACCCAAGATTTGACGGTACATGTCCCTTTGATGCGGTGCAGTTGTCCTGTGCGCTTAACAGAAAAACACCCCAAAAGCATAATGTTTCCATCTCCATGTTTGACGGGGGGATGGTGTTTTTGGGGTCACTGGCAGCATTTCTCCTCCTCCAAACATGGCGAGTTGAGTTGATGCCAAAGAGCTCGATTTTGGTCTCATCTGACCACAACACTTTCACCCAGTTCTCCTCTGAATCATTCAGATGTTCATAGGCAAACTTCAAACGGGCCTATACATGTGCTTTATTGAGCAGGGGGACCTTGCGGGCACTGCAAGATTTCAGTCCTTCACAGCGTAGTGTGTTACAAATTGTTTTCTTGGTGACTATAGTCCCAGCTGACTTGTGATCATTAACAAGATCCTACGGTGTAGTTCTGGGCTGATTCCTCACAGTTCTCATGATCATTGAAACTCCATGAGGTGAGATCTTGCATGGAGCACCAGACCGAGGGAGACTGACATTTATTTTGTGTTTCTTCCATTTGCAAATAATCACACCAACTGTTGTCCCCTGCTCACCAAGCTGCCTGGCAAGGATCATGTAGCCCATTCCAGCTTTGTGTAGGTCTACAATCTTGTCCCTGACATCCTTGGACAGCTCTTTGGTCTTGACCATGGTGGAGGCTTTGGAATCTGATTGATTGATTGTTTCTGTGGACAGGTGTCTTTTATACAGATAACGACCTGAGATTAGGAGCACTCCCTTTAAGAGAGTGCTCCTAATCTCAGCTCATCACCTGTATAAAAGACACCTGGGAGCCAGAAATCTTGCTGATTGATAGGGGATCAAATACTTATTTCACTCATTGACATTCAAATCAATTTATAACTTTTTTGACATGTGTTTTTCTGGATTTTTTTTTTTTTTTTTTGTCTCTCACTGTTAATTCACCTACTATTAAAATTATAGACTAATCATTTCTTTGTCAGTAGGTAAATGTTTAAAATCAACAAATTTACCTTCCCCAGGCACTGTATGTATATTCACCTATCTCTCTATGTCTGCAAACGCCTGCACACATATGTTACCAAATTCCCTCACATATGTTATATTGTTCTAGTATGTTTCCATAATTCATTTTGCCAAATGGCCTCATCATGCTTTCATGTAACCCACACATTGCAATTTAAATGTTTATATATTGCTCTTACATTTACTTTATTTATTATTATGTTTTATAAATGTCTGCAAATCATGCAGTTCTATAGAATATAACAGGGTTATAGACAAATTAACGTTTAACATGCATTACATTAAAGTTAACAATAACATGAGCAGTTAATACTAATATATAAGGATAATGGGCTCTGCTCTTACAGGAATACAATGTAAGTGTTGTGATATTGCCTCTCACCATATATTCATGCTGTCCACCCAGATTGTCGCTCCATATGTTGTCAAACTACCCCCACATTACCCCTCCTTATCTTGTCATATTGCAGTTCACATTGCCACTCCCTGCATTGTCAATTTGTAGTACACGTTGCCTGCCCATTTGTTGTCATATTACCCCCATTTTACCTCACTCATGTTGCCATAGTATCACCAAGTGATGTCTCATTGCTCCAATATCACAGTGAGAGACACATGAAGAGAGAATCATGTTTATGCACAAGGAGACACAGCCACACAAAGAGACACAGTTAGACACACAGACAAAGACACAGTCACTGGGGAAGATACACATACACTGTTCAGGAGCCATGCACATTTTTGTCCAGACACTCATACACAGTTAGATATACACACGAAAGGACAAAGAGGTGCAGAACTTTGAGCAGGATCTCTGGGAATTACTCAGGACCTTAACACACAGAGACACACATTTACTTTCCATCATGTTTGGTTTGTATCTTTGATGACTGAATCTTGCTATGTTATGCCACAACACCTGCTGCTGTATGCAAACTAGGTGCCACATTTATTAAATGGGCCTAGTTTGCAAACAAAATTGGTGGAACTTCTTCAAATGGTGTAAAGCACAATGTAGGGAAAAGTGCTGACTATCTCTAAAAAAGACATATTTTGCAAACAACATTCTTCTGCAGTAGCATCACACATGACATGCACAATGTTGGGCATGAATGTGTATCATTAACCCTCTTAAATACATGTATATAGTGATCAAGTAGAGATTGTAGCCATATTAGTCCAGTGATGTAGAGGTAAAAAACAGATAAAATGTGTATCTTGTAATACCTTTTTTATTGGACCAACAGATTTTTTTAATGTCTATGTTCTATCAAACCTGCGTCTTATCTGCACTCATGTCGCTTTAACCCCTGTATCACAACTCAACTTCGAATTCTATGTGCCGTCTTGCTCAGAAATGCTTCAGACTTGAGAAAGGGATGTTCTACCGAAAGCTTGTCATTAAAAAATTCTGTTAGTCAATAAAAAAGGTATTACAAGATATGCATTTTATCTGTTTTTTACATGTATATGGTGAAATAGGTAACAAAAAGAATAATGCAATGTAATGCAATCAATCGTTCTAGCATTGTCAGGAATTATGTGTCATCTAATGTGAGAATTTTGTACTTGTTTATGAAAAAAAATATTTCCACCTGCTTTCCTTTTTAAATTTTTTAAAGAGTGAATACATTACTGTGATTTATATAAGTTTATGCTTTTACTGTAGTTTTATTGTGTTGTATTCGTTTTCCATTATACAATGTACCACAATACCAGAGATATTGCAGATCGTCTTCGTTGTAAATAATATTGGGTCAACACTTTGTTTAGCTTCATTTGCTCTTGGCAATCCTAAAGGGGCACTCAGCATCGAACAAACACTGAAAAATCCTTATATATTACATGGAAAGCAATTATTTTAACCCATTAGAATAGCAGTAGAAATTAAAGTTTGTGTTATTTTCAATAACACAGATCATACTCAAGAAATCCAACTGTTCTTTAACCACTTAATACTAGCAACATGTTTACATATGGTTTAATTTGCTTCTTATTACGACATGAAATATATCACAATGGATCATCTTGCCTTTTCCTCCACTCCAATGCTGAATGTTGCCTAACTGAGAAACACATTTATTATCTAGAGCACTCATCAGTCCCTTCCATGCAGAAGGATTGTAAATTACATCAAACCTCTCTTGGCTGCACAATAGAGTGGTGTCTGGACAAAAATGTGCGTGGCTCCTGAACAGCTACACCGAGTAGAAGGATGTAGTGAGGGCTCTAGGCAATTAATAGAAATTAATGCAGGATATAAAAGGTTACACCATAGTTTGTAAACCATGCAAGCTATCTTAATGCTCATTAGCTGCGAAGTAATCCGTTTTGATATGTCATATAAAAGGTGCAGAGGAAGGCAGCCTGCATTTTGGATTTGCATCGTACTTTTGGGTGGGATTAGTCTGGTATGTAATTTTAGTATTACTAGACACCAAATCATTTTAAAATGCAGAATTCACTTTTTCACACCTCCGAATGCACATTTGAAATGCTTTAAGTAGAATTAGAGGCACTTTATATTAAAATAATTCCTATATTTAAAAAAAAAAAAAATCAAAGGTATATTTAAATAAGCCCAGTACACTTTTCTGTTTTATATTTTTAACATCACGTCTCTGTGTTTTCTCTTTTATCTATGTAGCCGTGTATTTTTTAAAGTAGACTCAATAATTTCACAATATTTAATATGACTATGAATAACATCCCACAAAAAAAAAAAGAAAACAAACATAAATCCCACTACCTGGAACACAAAAAAGAATTCTTGATAAAGAAACTTTACTTGTTTTAAGGCATCAGGAACATTCAGAATTGAGCATTACTTTTGTGAGTTCTTCAGTATTGACATAGATCCGATTTCTTTGAAGCCTATCTTACCTTCATAAAAAACATGTTCTAAGTAATGAGGCAATCATATTGTACAACAGGTTAGTATTTTCCTAAAGGGTTCACTTTTCCTCCTTTGGTCATAATTGTGGGAGAAAGAAGACCAAAATTAGCAAATATCTTCCTGTTGTCTACCTGTGTCATGTATACTGTGACATTGTTTTTAGGGATTTGTTTCCACTTGTCTCTTTCTGGTATGCAGGTGCACCCTCTGCTTTATGTTGCCCTAGGGACCTGTTTTAGATACCTTTTCCCTGTATGCCTTTAAGAGTAGTGGGATTATTCCCCACCCCTAGGTATCTGTGGGTAGTACAGGAAGTATCTATATACAACAATGGGATTATTCTCTTCCCAGGGGTACTTGTAGGTTAATATGTAGATTTTTTTATTGTTTGCATTATTTGTTAATATACAGCTATATAGGTTTGTATGGGCACTCTCTGCACCTTGGTGCATCAAGGGTGTCATAGGGACTTCTTTAGGTATGTTGATATTCCCCCGTATACCCTCTAGAGTAGTGGGATTATTTCCCTCTCATTGGTATCTGTAGGTAAATATAGCTTACCTTCGTATTAGCTGTAAATTTATATTCCCCATTGCTTTTTTTCTTCTTTAGTTCATTGAGTGGTCAGAAGGGTGAACCAATTGGGGCTTTAGTCATGTTATCTAAAACTTCTGCTTTAAGATTTTGCCTCCTTTAAATTAACCCACAGCCACCTCTATTTACCACTCACATTTGTCAGTCGACGCTTTACGTACCTATTCTTGTCTATAAGCATATAATCATATATATCTATTTCTTTTATTTTTTTAGTTTAATATAACGTGAATAAAGTTTTTTCGATATTTTTATTTGTTTTCTGCAGTTTATTTAGCTGTATAGATTTATCCACCTTAATAGTTTCATTTATACTGTTAGATTTTACTGTGACATACAGTATAATTTTTCTATTGAAAATTTGAAAATTAAAATTTACAAGTAAAGTTTTTTTTTTTTAAAGTATTACTTGTTGGAAGGGGTGCCATGACCAACCCACCAATGTGTGTATCTTGTACAATGTTCAAATGCACCTGTTTCAGTAGTAGCCAATACCTAGTAATATATATATATATTTTTTAAATGAAATATATTGTCAGTATAAGCAGGGCTCAAGTCTAGCACTGCTAGGGTCACTGCAAGCATGGAGAGTCCATGGCAGGGTTGAATTTCTACTAACAGGTACTGAATTTTCACACACCTATAGCTAGTGGCAAGTGAAGAGCCCTGAGTATCAGTTTTGTTTGTATTTGTACCATCAGTATACATTGTTTATTGATCTGTATGTTTTTATTTGGTTTATAACTGAACACAATTTTTCAACTTACTATCAAACAGACATTTTCCTGCTCTCACTGTTTTATTGTTGCGATTTGTTTCCAGGTGGGTTATTCTTTGCCAAGCCTATGCGATCAAAAGGCTATGTAACCATGTTGGATCCATTCCAGCAGGTATATGGAAAAAGAATGGGAGGATTGCTATTTATACCTGCCCTTATGGGAGAGATGTTTTGGGCAGGTGCAATACTGTCTGCTTTAGGTAAGGTGCATATTATTTATTTGTAATTAAATAAAATAATAATATATATCAAGTTCCTTTGGCATTAATTAACATATGTATAATTCCCCCATGAAGTCATCTAGACATGGTTAGTTAAAGGAACGCTCCGGCCCCTAAAGCACTTTAACTTGCTTAAAATGTTGGTGCGAAGAGAGTGTCCTCTTTTTTTCATTTTGCACAAAGTGCAGATTTCAAAGTGACACTTTTATAAATTAACCTGATTAGACCCATGGCTGTTAATCAGACAACAGTTCCTGTTACTTCCTGGGTTGTTTAGCTCAGTTTAGCTAAACTCAAGAAGCAGCAATTGATCAGAGCACCTACCTTGAAAAGACATCTCATTGAGCTGTATTTGGAAGTCTGTGATTGGACAGACACACAAAGTCTGCCAGCTGTTTTTAGCTATACCCTTAATGAAAAAAATGTATAATAAAATACATAAAGGTTTTTTATTGTGGTTACATCTACTACACTTCGATTTTTATTTATTTTGTAATTGGGCAGTGAAGTGTCCCTTTAATATCACAAAAGGTACTTTCAATCTTACTAAAAAAGTGTGCTATTTAGTCTTTTTTGAAGTATCAAATTAATCCAAAGATTGTTCCTAACCTAAAGCCATAAAAATCTGCAAAAGGTATATTTACTGTTGAAAGGCATATTTACTTAATTGTGTTATGTTGGCATGATTTCTGCAAAATGAAGACTCTTATAACATGATATTTATATCCACCAGCTTGAAAAATGTAAATGTTTTAAACTGGACAGCCTCTTCATAAAGAAATTGTTAATGTTAATTTGGAAACAAGCTTACTCTCATCTTCAAAACACACTATCAGAGCTATTTAATGGTCCTGGAATTGATAAGAATTGATTATGGAATTGCAAATTACACGTCAAGTCAAATTAAGCTAATCCTCAGTACTAGAGTGTGATAAAATTATGTTAGACCCACCCCATAATTTCCTTATAAACTCCATCTAGTGAGTGTTATTCATACTTATTATATGCTGAAGTATAGGTGGTAAACAAGGTGGTTCTGACTGCCCTGTGAAGTGTTTTCTGGAGATGGACTATTTTGGTGATATGATTTGATCTTGGCTAGAATATTGTAACACCTGATTTATGCTGTTTTACATATGACAAGTAGTTTTTCCACTTTGATCTATGGAAATGTGACTTTGGCGAGTTAATTAGATGACATCATAAGGAAGTCAATGCTTTTTTCATCACCTCCTTAGAAGTAAGCCCATTGATTCTAAGAGCTGGTTTAATGTCCTTCTGTCCTTGTTTTGCTTTTTCTATCATTCCCAACTAGGTTCTTCCCTGTAACATGTGTTGATCTCCTTACAGAACCACACAATTAAAAATCCTGCTGTTACAATTGATTTGTGAATCCACCCATGGCCGCCTAATCTTATCCTCACTTTGAATTGCAGAGGTTTAAACATACAGGAATGCAGATCACATCTACTGCAGGACCTCTGCATATGTTGCATCTCCATAGCCTTTTTGCAGGAAACCCACTTTAAAGAAGGGGCAGCACCACTGTTGAAAAGTAAACATTACCCCAGTGCAGCTTGCAGCAACCACCCCACAGCACGTAAGGCTGGAATGGCTATACTGTTGGAAGCAAAGCTGCAATTCCAAGAGATAGAGAGGATAACGGATCAGGGCGGCAGATATATCTTCCTGAAAGGCAATATCCAAGATCACAGATACACATTCACAACAATATACATACCTGATAATAATCAAACCCAATATGTCCACAAATACTTTGTAAGCTTTTGTCACTCACTGAGGGAATCATGATTCTTGGAGGTGACTTCAATGTCCCCTTAAACCCGATCACTGACTCATCTATGGGTCATAGCAGCATAGCGCAAAGTGCCTTATGGAGCATATAGAATTCCCTACAAAATCTACGACTGGTGGATTGCTGGAGATGCACACCATGGATAAAGAATACACTCATTATTCGGCATTCCATCGGCGATACTTGAGGATCGACTACATATTTCTTCAACAAGAACAGTTAGCAAACATATGAGCAGCGGAGATAGGTACGGCTATATGGTCAGATCATGGCCCAGTGACTCTGGAGATGAACTCACCGAGGACACGACCTGTCACTTGGTCCTGGAGAGTTAACAGCTCCCTCCTATAAGACTTAGAAATCAGGGAGAAAGAATCTGAGGCTCTCACCTCCTACTTCGAGATGAATACACCGGGTGAACTCATGGCAACTACCATTTGGGAAGCGTCATCAGGGGAACCCTAATCTGCTTAGCATCCAAAAAAAAGAGAGAATCACAGTGTCAGATCACCAAACTCATTGAGAAAAACATATCTCGAAACCCAGTGCAAACGATCCCAACTTGTGGCAACCCACAGAGAACTTTGTCTCATTAAAATGTTACACTTAGTTCAGTGTAACGGTTGTTATGCATTTATTTCATGTTCCACTTTTTGGAGATTTGGATGCTGTCTAATCTGTAGGCAGTTCTCTATATTACGGCAGAAGATTGCATTTTTTGAAGTCTGAGATTTGTAAATTATCTAGTAAACAAACTGGAACTGCTGCAAAGTCACTGCCGCAGAGACGTACTAGGAATGGCAGATGGATTACTGTAGGATCTGGTAGACTTAGAGTTGTGGATAAAAGGCATATTGCACAGTATGTTACTCTACATAATTCATTTTCTGCACTTTCAGAGTGTAATGGTGTTATGGAGACAGGCTCAGGCACTTAGGGTAGTGGTGTTGTAGAGACAGGCTCAGGCACTGAGGGTAGTAGTGTTGTGGAGACAGGCTTGGAGACTATGGTGAGGCCTAATAGAAAGCAGTTGTTATTAGGGGATTCCATCCTAAGAGGTGTGGAGATGGACAATGGTGGTCTTGTGAGATGTCTTCCCAGAGCTACTGCTCACAGAGACAGGAGATGTATTTGTAATATTGTTAAAGGACCACTATAGTGCCAGGAAAACATACTCGTTTTCCTGGCACTATAGTGCCCTGAGGGTGCCCCCACCCTCAGGGTCCCCCTCCCGCCCGGCTCTGGGGGAAAATCACAGTGAGAAGCACGCAAGCGCCTCTAGTGGCTGTCAATGAGACAGCCACTAGAGGAAATAGGGGGAAGGCTTAACCCATTCATAAACATAGCAGTTTCTCTGAAACTGCTATGTTTATAAAAAAAATGGGTTAACCCTAGAAGGACCAGGCACCCAGACCACTTCATTCAGCTGAAGTGGTCTGGGTGCCTAGAGTGGTCCTTTAAGCGAGCAAAGGAGGAAGGGGAATTGGATGTACTTGTCCATCTAGGGACAAATGACTTGGCTTGCAGTGAGGTTTCAGAGGTTAAGGAGGTTTTTAGTGTTTTTGCCAATGACATACGGCAGGTTGCTTCCACACTGTCATTCTCTGAAGTTCTGCCTGTGCATAACACTCAGAACGACAGGTGGATGCGTATTAGGGACTTTAACTTGTGGCTTGGTGGATAGTGTCGGGAGCAAGGATTTGGCTTTATTTCTCATGGTAGCTCTGTTTGAAATAAACTGTATAAAAAAGATGGTTTGTATCTTTCTCAAAAGGGCAAAAATGTTCTCAGAGAGCAGTTCAGAGGTTTTGCTAGGATGTATTTAAACTAGGAGGGGGGGGCAAAATGGTGATAAAACATCAATCCAATTGCCCCCCAAAACAAGGGCAGAATGTGCCTTTAGCAAGTGTGTTAAAACATTACAAGCTTCGAGTCATGTCTACAAATGCTTGCAGTTTAGGGAATAAGATCCATGAACTTGTGGCAATAATGGAAACTGATAATGTAGATTTAGTCGCTGTTACTGAGACATGGTATAATGAGAAAAATGACTGGGACATAGCAATACCAGGATACTCTTTATATAGAAAAGACAGGGAAGGCAAGAAAGGGGGAGGGGTGGCCCTGTATGTGAAGGATAGCATAAAATCTAGCCTAATAAAAGTTAGTGAGGCGAACATAGAGTCCGTTTGGGTTATGTTAGAATTTGGTAATCACACAGTAACTCGTGTAGTTGTGATTTATAGGCCCCCAGGACAAATAGAAGAGTTAGATAATCTACTAGTTGAGGAAATAGCTAAAATGACAATGAAGGGGGAAGTTATCATCATGGTGACTTTAATCCTCATGATGTGAATTGGAAAACTAAATTAGCTGCTTGTGCCAGAAGCACAAATATTCTAAACTCCGTACTGGGATTGTCTCTAAAACAAGATGTTGAGGAGCCAACTCGTAAAGAGGCCATACTGTTTTAGTGTTAACAAATGGAGATTTGGTATCAGATATTACTATAGGTGAAAGTTTAGGATCCAGTGATCATCAGTCAGTGTGGTTTAATATAAGAACAGTGACTGAGTCACACCACACAAAAACAAAAGTAGAATATGTGTAAAGAGTCATTATTAAATTGGAGCAATTTAAATTGAGTCCAAGAGAAATCGGATTATTTAAAAGTTGCACTGCTGAAGGCAACAGAAAATTGCATTAGGTTTGTCAGTAAAAGCAAAAAAAAAAGCAAAAAAATCAAGAAACCACTGTGGTACTCCGCAGATGTGGCCAAAATAGTAAAAAACAAAAAGTTAGCATTTAGTAATTATTAAAAAAAACAGAGTGAGGAAGACAGAATGCTCTATAAGATTAGGCAGAAAGAGGCTAAGCAAGTTATAAGAGCTTCCAAATTACACACAGAAGAGAAAATAGCACAGTCAATAAAAAAAAGGGGACAAAACTGTTTAAGATACATAAATGAGAAAAGGAAAGTAGAACAAGGATTAGTTAGATTAAAAACAAAAGAAGGAAGGTATGTAGAAGAGGATAAAGGTCTAGCTGACTGCCTCAATGAATATTTTTGTTCAGTATTTACAGAGGAAAATGAAGGAAAGGGACGTCAATTAGGAAAAAGGACAAATGAGTCATTTAATACATGAGAGTTTACAGAGGAAGAGGTTCTATTTCAACTGTCAAAAGTAAAGACAAATAAGTCAATGGGACCTGATGGAATACACCCAAAGTTATTAAAAGAGCTACTAGCAAAACCATTAACAGATGTATTTAACCAATCATTGTTAACAGGAGTAGTCCCAAAAGATTGGAAGTTAGGGAATGTTGTGCCCATTCACAAGAAAGGTAGTAGGGAGGAGTCGGGTAACTATAGGCCAGTAAGCCTTACTTCAGTAGTGGGGAAAGTAGTGGAAACCATGTTAAAGGATAGGATTGTTGAACATCTAAAAACACATGGATTTCAAGAGCAGAGACAACATGGGTTTACTTCAGGGAGATCATGCCAAACTAATCTTATTCATTTTTTTGATTGGGTAACTAAAATAATAGATCATAGAGGTGCAGTAGACATTGCTTACCTAGATTTCAGTAAGGCTTTTGACACTGTTGCACATAGAAGGCTTATCAATAAATTGCAATCTTTAAGTTTGGATTCCAATATTGTTGAGTGGGTAAGGCAGTGGCTGAGTGACAGGCAGCAGAGGGTTGTAGTCAATGGAGTATATTCGAAGCTTGGGCTTGTCACCAGTGGGGTACCTCAAGCATCTGTACTTTGACGGCGCTCTATAAATATCATAATAATAATAATAGAAAGAGGGAAGTGCTCATGCCATTGTACAGAACACTGATGAGACCTCCCTTGGAGTATTGTACACACTACTGGAGACCGTATCTTCAGAAGGATATTGATACTTTAGAGAGAGTTCAGAGAAGGGCTACTAAACTGGTTCATGGATTGCAGGATACAACTTACCAGGAAAGGTTAAAGGATCTTCACATGTATAGCTTGGAGGAAAGACGAGACAGGGGGATATGATAGAAACATTTAAATACATAAAGGGAATCAACACAGTAAAGGAGGAGACCATATTTAAAAGAAGAAAAACTACCACAACAAGAGGACATTTTCTTTAATTAGAGGGACAAAGGTTTAAAAATAATATCAAGAAGTATTACTTTACTGAGAGGGTAGTGGATGCATGGAATAGCCTTCCAGCCAAAGTGGAAGAGGTTAACACAGTAAAGGAGTTTAAGGATGAGTGGGATAGGCATAAGGCTATCCTAATTATAAGATAAGGCTAAGGGACTAATGAAAGTGTGACAGATTAATCTGTATTGCTGGTTCGTCTGTTACCCTTTGTTTTCGCTGGATTTCCTGTCCGTATGCTCCTGTTCGTGTGATTACAAAATACCGATTGAAACTACCGAACGAACGACCACCCAGGAGAGGAGTGTGCTGCTGGTTAACCTCTTGGCCCCAATTAGAACGTTGTGGTTAACCGCAGACACCTCTCCATTCCATTCGTACGGGTGGTCGTCGTTCGCATGCCGACCATGAGGCGGCGGCCATTTTGGGACACGAGGAAGCATAGCGGTGTTCAGTACAAATTCTATGGAACTAAAAACGGACACTTTAATCTACCGAACACCGCTGGCAGCTGCTGCCCACCTTCTATTTCGGCGAGGCGCACGAACGCCGGTCTGTTTGGGAGTTTTATACATTCGTATGGACCTTTACCCAGATAGCCGTCCCATGGAGTCATTCGTGTACCGAAGGACTGGTGAAAGACTTTGACTCCATGGCGATTCGACTAGATACATCGGATCGGAGCGCTATTCGGTAGAAATATGCACTCAGATCCAGGCTGTCTGGGGATACGTTACACGAACTATATTCATTCGGTATTTCTTCAGTTATATATTTTAATGTATTTTCCTTACTGTATTTTAAAATGGCGATTGTCTCTATCCTGGGAGATAATTAGGTTTCTTCCTAATTATCTCTGGGGTAGAAAAGAAGGGTTTATGGGTAAAATGGGAAGAGCTTATATTGAAGCCACTGCGATTGGCTACTGTCCAATATGTTTTACAGTCTTCCACAAGGTCCCCTCGGGGAGTGTCCACCTTGTGGAGACCTGCATAAATACCGGGCAGGTAGCCCCCATTAAACAGATCCTGATTTGACCCTCAAGACGGAGCTTGGTCTCGTTTGTGGGGGAATTATTACTGGGACAGCGCTTTCGTTATTTCTAGCTGTGGAAGGCGTTCGACTGTTTTGCTGATCGGGAGTTGCCGTGTTCGTGAACTTCGTTCGGGAGTTTGGCGGTCGGCTGGATAGAAACTGCATTTCTGGAGAGGGGGATTATTCACTAAACGGCGGCTTCATCTACCTGGCGGTGAGTGTCGTAACATAAAGTATTTAGAAAATTGGGCAGACTAGATGGGCCGAATAGTTTTTATCTGCCGTCACAATCTATTTTTCTATGTTTCTACTGGAGGTAGGTTGGCAATTCCACACACTTCTAGCCCATAGATATTTCTGCTCTGTGCAACGGTCGAAAAGCCTTTTTCTGCCAACATGCTAATAAAAGAAAGACTTCGACCAGGCGAGGCAGAGACATTGGACTTGCTCATCACAGAGGAAGAGGTGGCAGCAGCGATCAAAACCGGGCAAGCCCCAGGGCCAGATGGCTTTTCCCTGGACTACTTCAAGAAGTTTCGTCACATATTACTTCCTAAATTAACCCAGGTCCTTAACGCTCTCACAACGGAAAATAGCTTCCACCCCGAATCACTCGCTGCCACTATAACTGTCCTTCCAAAACCGGATAGGGATCCTGAACTTTGTGGCAGCTACAGATCGATATATCTGCTCAATGTGGATGTCAAACTGTTCACTAAGATCTTGACTAATAGGATCGGGAAATTGTTACCGAGGATCGTACACACGGATCAAAAAGGATTTATACCGGTTAGGGAGGCTAAGGATAGCACTCTACAGGCACTGTCAATCCAACACCTAGTGAGGCGATTAGGAGAACAAATTCTCCTCTTATTGACCGAAGCTAAGAAAGCATTCAACTGGGTTAACTGGTCCTTCTTTATGGCCACACTGCAGGAGATGGGATTCGGTTGTAACATGCTGAAATGGATAAGTGCACTCTATAGTTGCCCCAGCGCCAAAGTACGAGTAAACGGTGCTCTCACGGATGCTTTTCAGATACGGAATGGTGCAAGGCAAGGATGCCCACTATCCCAAATGCTATTTGCACTAATCCTGGAGCCATTCTTGGAAGCCGTACGGAAGTTTGATCATGTTAAAGGTTTTACTTGGAAGGCCAACACCCATAAGGTGGCTGCTTATGTGGACGATCTACTCTCCTTCATAAAGGATCCCAAGACAATTCTACCTCACCTAGTGGACCTGTTCAAGACATATGGCAAAATCTTGGGATTCAAATTAAATATGTCCAAATGTGAGGTACTCAACATCACGGTCCCAGTAACAGAAAATGATACCCTGCGACACTAGTTCCCATTCCAATGGTGCACTTATGAAATATCTAGGTTTTCACTAGTTACCACAGTGACCCATACCAAATAAATGTTATACCTCTCTTACACCGCATAAGAATTATTTGAAGAAATAGTCTTACCCTCATATATCCTGGTTTAGGAGAATTGCAGTTCTATAAATGAATGTGCTACCTAGACTTCTTAATCTATACAAACATATACTCCCCCTTGCCCTTCCTATAGCCTACTTCGCGTCTCTACGATCTTCTAGGATACAGTACATGTGGAATGGAGACCAGGCAAGCCTCCACCATGAAATACAATGCCTCCCGAGAGCCTCTGGGGGCCTTGGACTCCCAGACTTACATAAATACCACCACGCAACTGTCAAACAAAGAATATTAGAATTGGAACATCCACCGGTTCACAAACAATGGATTGAACTTGATAAGTGTCACCTTCGACCATTCCTACTTACGGCAGTGTGGAACTCAAAAAGGCCTACACAGACAGATCTGAATTTGACCTCTCCAGTGACACAAATGTTAAGGACATGGGACAGCATCTATCCACACCACACCACACCGAGCCCAAGGATTCAGATACAACATAATGTTCAACTAGGTGGTGGACTACTGCCTAGAACATGGGAATTCTTGGGCGTCGGTGGCGATTCACTTCCAATCCATAAGCTCTTGAACAACACAGGCCTGATACCACTGCTGGAAATGACTGGAGGGAATCCACCATCGAAACTGCAAACATTTAGGTACACACAAATCAGATATTTCTACCAATGTAACATACCCAATGTCTGCTGGAGATGCGGAGTGGGACCGGGAACAGTAACGCATATATGGTGGGAATGCCCAAACATAGAGCAATTCTTGGATGAAGTGAAGCTGAAGGTGGTAGAGATTCTTGGCGACACGGGATGTCTAGATATGGAGACAGTCCTACTACACTCCACACAGTTAAACATCACATCAAAAAATCGATCCTTTGACATCTACTAAACGCAGCCAAATCCTTGATTCAATTGAACTGGAAGCAAGATACGACCCCTACGATGGGACAATGGATGGACAGGTTGGAGGAGATATACATGGCAGAGTCTCTCCAAGTCTCCCTGATTATTTGTTAATAATTGAAGAGAAACATGTGGCGCGCTGGTGACTGTGGCTGTGGCTGGCTTAGGTTGACATGAGGAACATTGGGGAGTGGGAGGGGGAGCACAGTCCTAGAAAGTAGTGATGGATCAATCACATTTCCCTCTGATTCACTTCCATATAAGAAGATCTCCTTGTACCCTATTTTCCATATCTCTTATTCCATATTACAAGATACATTATGATGCTCACTTCCCTCTACTTTAATCGCTGTCTCTTTCCCTCTTCTTTTTTTTTTTTATATATACAAATGTTGCTTAGCATGAAGGGGGTGTGTGGATTTTTTTATTTTACTCATTGACACGTGGCTGTCAGATTCTCCACTCACCAAACGATACATATTGTTTGATTGATATAATATATACCTTTGAGTCATTCCCCTCAAGTTATTGTTAGTTCACATGCATACAGCCTATCCCCTAACTTGTAAAATGGGTAATTTGCTGTTCTTTCTTGATCATAAGATTCACACTTTCTGTTGCTAAACCATGATGTACAAACATGCTGGAAATCTATTTGTAAGAATGTTATCGATCACTTTCTGGTCTTATCATATGGCCTGCTGGACTTGCGTGTCCCCTCCACTTGAAACACCTTTGTCACATGTATATGCTCATTGTGGTTATACTCAATAGAAAGCTTTGATTCTTAAAAAAAAAAAAAGGAAAGGTAAGGTAAGCACTTTCAATTTTAGAAGTAGTTTTTTACTGAATGCTAGTTATTCCCAGTTACACTAATATTTGTTGATGTTGCCTATTAGAATTAGCAATTTCATGGAGCACTGCGTATCCCCTGATTTCTAATTATTATGGGATCGTTTTAAATGTTTAGAGAAAAGGGGCATTCCTTTGACACTTGAGAGAGAGGTGATTCATAGATATTTTTTTTTCATGGTTTGGCTGCTGTGACAGCTGTCCTTGGTTTAGCATGTTTTCTGATGAACTCTGATCATTTATATTTATTGTGTATGAAAAGTTCACCAGCTGTCAGCACTGAACCTTATTTTTCCCTAACATTACCTGTGATTGGCTGTTTGACAGATGGCTCTGTTAGTTGACTGGAATGAAACAAGTCAGTTTTATACAGAGTATTGCATGGGTAGCTGTACTAGAAGAATCTATAACATTGCTCACAGTCTGCTGGATAATAAACAATTTTTTTTGTGGGGGATTTCAAATTGCCCTCCAGTTGAGGAACTGCACAGTACGTGTGCATGAATGATTAATGTTTTAAGTACTTAGTTTATTATAACGCCCTATAATTCACTCACAGTGTGTACCCCCAATTAAAGGGAATGCTAATCAGTTTAGTACTTAGTTACCCCTGTATGAAAGACACTTTTATTTGATTCAAGTGAATTTCCTCTAGGTAGCCTGGCCTGTCTCTCCTACCTCGGGCCAGACTTCATTTGTTCTAATAAACATAATTTGCTCTAATTTCCAACTGTGTTCTGATTAAACGTGAAACAGTAGGCAGCTTGTTTACTCTACGTGCACGTGATAAGTCACAGATATTTCCCTCTTATATTTATGTAATGTTGGAGGATTTAAAAATGTATTGGCTTCAAAAACACATATACACAAATACATAAACATACAAATAAATAATAGAGCAAACAGCCTCCTTTTCTTATGCTTTTGTTGGCCAGACACTGCCCTTCTTAAACATTCTAAAAGTGTCTAATGTAAGTCAGTCTTCATTCATCACATCACATTCAAGACTTCCATGTACTTATATCACCTAATTCAGCTAAGTAAGGGATACACGTTTGTCTTTTTCCATGAGATCTCAATCCATTTCCACATACCTTAAATAAAACAAATGAATAACACTTTAGACTTGTTAAAAAAACCACTACAATAGGTCTCAATAGAAATCAATCAAACAACCAAATAGTCAGTTAATCACTAAAAGGTACAAGAAGCTACCTCGTAATCAGTGCAAGTATGATACAGTTAAGAAATAGCAGAAACACTGCACAAAATGTCCACAAACAAAGATGCAGCCATGAAACTGCTTACTTGACACCTATGTTATTTACAAAGGTGGGAGGTGTATAAAATGTAAGATGGGGATCCCATGATACATCACTATTATGGGGACGCTTAATGTGGCCACTTTATCGCCATACTCTCTGTGTTCTTGGCCAGGGGAGAACTGGTTATATATGTGACCAGGGGGACAACTACAAACAAATAGAACTTTGTCTAATAATAAAATAATATAGTTAATAATGTAGTATTGTGATGTGAGGCACCAGCCCCCAATCTTCTCTATATTAGTGACCCATGGGGCAATATAGCCAACCTTTCTCTGATCTTGGCCTATTAAATATGGCACGCACAAGTCAAGTGGCTAAAAGACTCCGTGTACTGGACACACCAAATTCCCACTAAAAAGAACAATGCCCAACTTTGTAAAGAAATGTTGGTGAAGAGAGTTTTCTTCTCTAATGATGTCCTATTAAAAATAATTTTTCACTACTATGAAATCCAGAGTTGTCACTAGAGTTCATGTTTGCATATATCAAATGATGTTTAATATTTGCTTTTATATATATATTTGATTATACGATTAAGACCTTCATCACTAACATTTGCTGTGAACTAAAGAATGAATACCATATAAAGACATTTTAATAACTGAGAATCATATTTTCCTTTTAGGTGCTACTATAAGCGTGATAGTGGATATTAATATTAATATATCAGTGATAGTGTCAGCTTTAATTGCAACTTTTTACACTCTTGTTGGAGGACTTTACTCCGTGGCCTATACAGATGTTGTTCAACTGTTCTGCATCTTTCTTGGATTGGTGAGTAAATTATCTGAAAGAACATACTTTTATTGCAAAATATATATGTCTGGGAAATAATCCCCACTAGATAGAAGAAAAAAAGTGTAATTTAAATTGAAACAAAAATGTGTCATGATATTGATATTAAATGATGTAACTCCTGAAACTAATTTCAATATATATTGAGTTTTTTTTTTTAGCTGTGAGTTAATATGTATTAACTTCCACTTATAATTTTGGAGAAGAAAAGTATTCTGTTTAACAGTTCTTAGATATCCAGAGAGCTTTACAAAGTATAGAACTTTGCCATGGGGCTTTAATCTATCATTTGCAGTGCTTTTATACATAGAACTATGTAAGACAGCCCCGTGGGCTTTCAATCTAAAATGACAATATGCAGTGGGTCAAAGCGTAGCAAAGGGGAACCTACCGGTTAAAGCAGTTGAGGTGAGGGCACACGAGGAGGTGCTGAATTAGTTAGCAGATTAATAATGATTAGCTAATGGTGATTTCACACAGATGGAGAATAAAAGTTTATAAATTAATTTTGAGACACGTGTTGGTAGTATAGAGTGGAGGTCAATTTTATAGTACCAATATAAGTTTTTTGGGGGGTGCAGGCCTGGAAACCACAAAGGAAAATAGAAATGAAGTCCTTGATAATCAGTCTGTCGCTGCACTGAAAGGATTTGTTATGATGACAAAAAGTTTAATATATGCATATTGCAAGTTGTTAATTAATGCATGCAACAGTAAGAAAACAATACACAAAATGTAATTGTGTCATCATACCAGTACCTTTTCATTCGGTCCCGAAGGCAGGCTGATTTTCATAAATCCTTTTGGTGAGATGAGTCATAATGTAACAATTTGTCTTTCTTGGATTCTTGTAGTTCCCTTTTTAGTTTAAGTTTAAAATAAAGGTGGCATTTTATTGCACAGAGAATGGATAGGTTTGGTGTGCTTATACTCCATCTGCCCACTCCTTCTTTGGTTCATTCATTACGGTGATTGTTCTCCATAAAGTGATTGGATTCACGCCTCAAATGGATTTCCTTATTTGTTTCCATTTGTTGCAGTCACCTTGAGTTGTGATTACATTTGTTACGTCATATCTCTTTGTAATAAATGAATCTGGAGCTGGGCTAGGGTGATTTTATTACAGAATAATACTGTGAGCATCTTCGAAGGGTAATACTTTACAAAATCTAAATACAAACGTCAATTAAAGACTGTATTATTTTTCTTTAAAAACTATTACCATATTTGATATGGGTTTGTATACCTTGAGTAAAGCATCATCTGACATTTCCATTTCATTAATCCATCAAAACAATATTCCCAACTGAGTAATATCATTTTCATTTCCCCAAACTATAGTAATTTAGCTAGGATTACCATATGGAGATTAGCACTTTAAGAATGCATCAACGTGTTGTTATACTGTATAGGATATACCAGTAGTTCCCAATCCTACACTAACAGTTCATGATTCACCAGTTTTCTATTTCTGTTCTAAAGGGAAAACATTGGGCTGTTGGTGTGCCCTGATGACTGTGTTTGGTACCTCTGTTGTTAAAAAAAAAGGGCATGGCCGAGTATGTTCTTTTTTCAAAGATATGTGTCCAGATATGTTTATGTATACTTTTGTATAGGAGTGCATGTGTTTGTGTGTGTAGTATGTTTGTGTTACTGCATGTTAGTATGTATGTTTTCATATGGGTATGCATGCAGTTTAGTATCTGTGTATCAGGTGTAATTTGTTTGTGGATATATTAATAAATATATAGGTATGCATTCAGATTATTGTGTAAGTAAATGTATGTTGGCATGCCCAATCATCTTTTGTCTTCCAATTTAGAATATCAGATGTATAATTTTAATTTTAAGTCAAGTGATATTAAATTGTAAGCTCACATGTTACAGAAGTATTTGTAGGATAGTTAGAGGATAAGAGAAAAAAGATTGGATTCTGCCAGCCTGCAGCACAGGCAGAAGGGAAACTCAAGTGCATAAAATATTAGTAACTCTCTATATCTTAAATTGTGCTCTGTAGCATTTAACTGCTATATATACATATATAATACCCCCATTCTTTGTGAACGTTCCAGCCCCCATCCTTGAGGATGGCATCCTTTACTTGGTCGTGTCTATTCTCTGAAGACTTCCTTATTTGCAGCTGACCTTTCATCCTCAAGCACACTTGAAAGGCTAGAAACACAAAGGTGTACCCTACATGATCGCATCCTCCATTTCATACCAACCGCTAATTATTTTAGAGGAATCTATAACGCAACCATGTACATCTGTACAGCTAATAAAGCTGAAAGACTGTGTTACCCAGCTTGCCTGCTGCCAGCAATTATAATTACTGAAATGTTGGCCAACCAGTTTAATAAGATGGTGCCTTTTTATCCTTTAGTAGTTGTTCATAAAAATAAATACTTGCAGCTTTAAAATTTTCACAACATGCTATTGAATAAGAATCATAGTTATTTAATTGTTTTACACTTCTAGCATAAACACACCTTAAATGGAAGTGACATTTTTTATAAGTTTCATTACAAATCAGAAAACATGTCTGCATTGTATTTTAACAATGCCTTTTAAAGAGCACGGTGTGCCCTTCAGTTTAATAACATTTCCTGCTTGGTGTATTGATGAATGGCATTCTAGTTTATCAATTTATCTTCTAGTGGATCAGCGTACCTTTCGCAATAACACATCCTGCTGTTACAGACATCACAGTGACAGCCGTTACAAAAGTCTACAAGGAACCATGGTTAGGCAGCATACAGTCTGCTGATATTTGGTCTTGGTTGGACAGTTTCTTGTTACTGGTAAGCAATGCTACAGTCATGTAAGTCTTTTTCAATGTTTTATGTATTTACTGGTATACCTAGGTCTATATGGTTCTGGGCACTCCCTGTCTCCACTACTGATGACGGAGAGTTAGTTCTCTGTCTCAACTAAGTCCTTCTCTCAGTCAATGATCTAACCCTGCATTAGTGAATTTAGCTCAGGAGACTAATTGAAGCTCCTGCTTAGGAGACATGGGGTGGAACCTGGTGGATTCAAAATGTTCTAAATTGGTTTCACTCCTTGCAGTGATTATGGTGCCAGAGCACTCCTGGCATCATAACCACACCAGTAAGCTATAGTGGTGCATGGAGTTCCCTATACAATTGGCCATGATGCCAACAAGCAATATATATGGAGGTATGTGTGGTGCAACGTTAGAATATGAGCTGTCCATGGTCCTGTTCTTGTTCAGATTACAATATATTTCACACAATTAAGTTGTTTATCTTTATTTATTTCAGCAAAGTCAGGAATCACTGCCTCTGTCAGAATTAGATAGATTAGATAGATTGATAGATAGATAGAGACAACTGAGGTCTTTATAAGCTTGATAAAGACCTCACTTGAGGTTGAAACATTGATGTGTTTCCCCAATAAATCTGCTTAATGTTCAACCTTGAATACCTGGACCATTTTGTTCTTTTACTTACCAATTGACTAAGATTTAGCCCACGTCAGGTCCAGTTAAGCACCTAGGATTGGAAGAGAGTGTGGTTAGAATGTATACTGTATAACATGTAAACTGCTTTCTACTTGAATCCAAACACATATTTGAAATATCCTGTCTGCCTCATAACCTCTTCTGTAGCTAGCATCTACACTATCAAAAATTATGCTTAGTTCCTCATAGTCCTGTTGACAGTTGGTCCATTTAAATATGTACCAAAATCTTATGACAATATTTTATTATTTGTGTTTTCAAGGATATTAATGGGGGGAAAAAAACAAAATCAATCGCTTCTTCCTGTTTCTAAACATATACATATATTTGCAGATACTAGGAGGTATCCCTTGGCAAGCCTATTTTCAGCGAGTCTTGTCTGCTTCTTCTGCTACATATGCTCAAGTGCTCTCCATCTTGGCTGCATTTGGCTGCTTGGTGATGGCTGTTCCGTCTATTCTCATTGGAGCAATAGGAGCTTCAACAGGTATGTAAACATCTTAGTTTGCATTGTTTTATCTCTGTTTAATTTGTGGTCTGTCTTAATTTCTCCATAGACCATAATATAACATTTAAAACACAGTGGTTAAAGCTGACATATATTAAAATGCAGTTATTCATACTGTAAAACATACCTTCACTCTCTGAGCAGCTGGTAGGATCAAATGCTACGACTATGTTATTATGTCTAAAGCCAGATTCACAGAGGAGTAAAATGTTACTGAATCTATCTATACTGATTGAAGAATAAACTTTTGATCACCTTACTAGAGTTGCATGGGTCTCTTTTTTCTATATTTATTTGTCTAATTTTTAATGAAGAGTTTGTCCTATGCTTAAAATATTTTAAGAAAACAGATATTTACTGTTAACACATGATTAACACCAAACTACAGGACACAACACTTTTGACATTATCTCATCAGTAATAGACGAATTCAATAGATAGACAGAATGTTACCAGTAATCTGACTTTCCAAAGTACACACTTTTATTGCTATCTGTTACTCCAATTAAACCAGCTGTTACTTGGAATGCTAACATGCGAGGAAGGAGATGTAACATTTTGAATATTGATTATGATCACTAGTCTAATACTATCCTTACGTTTTTGTGTCATTTTACCCCACTCCCTCTAGCATGTAAGCTCATTGAGCAGGGCCCTCAACCCCTCTGTTCCTGTGTGTCCAACTTGTCTGGTTACAACTACATGTCTGTTCGTCCACCCATTGTAAAGCGCTGCGGAATCTGACGGCGCTCTATAAATATCATCATAATAATAATAATTATTATTATTTGCAGACTGGAACCAGACAGATTATGGTTTACCTGACCCACAGTCCAGAAATGAAACAGATATGATCTTACCAATTGTACTTCAGTACCTATGCCCTGCATACATTTCATTTTTTGGCCTTGGCGCTGTGTCAGCAGCTGTGATGTCATCAGCAGATTCCTCCATTTTATCTGCAAGTTCTATGTTTGCCAGGAATATCTATCAGCTGTCATTTAGACAAAATGTAAGTATTTTTGCTAATGTCTTATTTTGGTAATGTATTTTTTTATATGACTTTGAACATACACGTATGTTAGTTCAAATTTTATTTAACTCATGTTTTAGATAACATTGATTGTTATTGAGAAAAAAAAAACTAATTTCTAATAAACAAAAAGAAAAGTAATTCAATATTGCCAACACGTTGATAGCAGTATCTTAGAGAAATGCACTAAAACACTTATCATACAAATCAGCTCTCACAGTGATGGAACATGTCTATACAGTATGGGTTTGCAATACAAATAATTGTATTAAATACACATTGATAAATGCACACTCAATGAGAAAAAAAACATATCAAAATCAGCAATTCATTGTCATTATAAAGGATGATACTTTCCTTAAAATAAAAACTGGGCTGAATATGATTTGGTACAAACACTTTAAGAGTCCATATGTTATAAAAAGGAGCTAAAAATAACATTTACAGAAATTTGCAATATGAAAAAATAGAATAAAAATTTTTAATCTTAAGATATGTAAATATTTGAATGTCTTCCCCTCAAAGAGGCCGTTACTAGTTATTGATTGTGTGTAAGGTAAGAAAAAACAAGGCAATATTTTATAGTTTGCAAGGCCATTAGTTGTTTATTTTAAGAATTAAAGAACCATTTTATTTCCATTGTGTGTTTGGGGAATTGGGAGGCCAAGGCAACACATTGAACTATGTGTCATGTTCTTCAAACCACTCCTGAACTATTTTTGCAGTGTGGCACGGTGCATTATTCTCCTGAAAGAGACCTCCGCTGTCAGGGAATACCCAGGGGTGTACATCTCTAGTTAGGTGATACATATCAAAGTAATATCCATATGAATAGGATCTAAGGTTTCCCAGCAGAACACTGCCTCTGCCAGGCTGCCTTCTTCCCATAGTGCATCCTGCTGCCATCTCTTCCCCAGGCAAACTACGTACATGCACCCGACCATCTACTTTATTCAAAAGAAAACATGATTCATCAGACCGGGCAACCTTCTTCCATGGCAATAAAAACAAGAAAGGAAAATGCAGGTTGCACCAATTGACAAACATATATTAAGTATTATAGACAATTTTGCAGAATATTCCAAATGGACATAGTCCACAATTTTCTCTATTATAATAATTTTGCTTCAGCCTACAACATGCTGTAGTTTAAATAGCAGGCAGTGGTATAATTCCACTTGTGGAGTTGTACTTCTTGTGAGTGACAGACAATGGTGACCAGTGGTAAAACATGTAATGATTCTCAAGTAAAGGAAAGGAAAAAAAGGACAATAGTGTAATTTTGTAAATTGACATGTAATATATAAGAAATACACTAACAAAGAAGGAGCTTGCATCATAAGCTCAGTATGTTAGGCAGATGGTGGCACAATGCCCACCATTTGGATATCAGTTGGTCTGATATCCATACCATAATTCAGAGCAACTGAAATCCATATGGTGGGGATTGTACCATTATCTGCCTGGCATATTGAGTTTATGACGCAAGTTTCTTCTTTGTGAGTGTGCTTCTTATTTATTAGGTGTCTTACATTGATTTACAATATCACACTATTTACTGCTTTTGGTTGTCACTCACAAGACATACTGATTCACCAGTGGAATTATACCATTGCTTGCTATTTAAGCAAGAGCTCTGGAAAATGTAAGTGGGCATTCACATATTATTATTATTATTATTATTATTATTGCCATTTATATAGCGCCAACAGATTCCGTAGCACTTTACAATATTATGAAAGGGGATTTAACTATAAATAGGACAATTACAAATAAACTTACAGGAACAATAGGTTGAAGAGGACCCTGCTCAATCGAGCTTACATTCTATAGGAGGTGGGGTGTAAAACACATTAGGACAGGAATGTGCAATCAAATAAGGTGGGCTGCCCTTTAGGAGAGGGCAAGAGACGGGTATGTGAGGTAGGGGTTAGTCTTGGAGGCCATAAGCTTTCCTAAAGAGATGGGTTTTAAGGCACTTCTTAAAAGATGCAAGACTAGGGGAGAGTCGGATGGCGGTAGGCAGGCTATTCCATAGGAAGGGAGCCGCCCGCGAGAAGTCCTGCAAGCGCGAGTTGGCCGTACGGGTGCGGACAACGGACAGGAGGTGGTCACGGGCAGAGCGGAGAGACCGAGAAGGGACATACCTGTGGATCAGTGAGGAGATATAAGAGGGGCTAGAGTTGTTCAGTGCTTTATAGGTGTGAGTTAGTGCCTTGAATTGACTCCTATAGCACACAGGAAGCCAATGTAAGGACTGGCAGAGGGGTGAGGTGTGAGAGAACCGACTAGAGAGGAAAATCAGTCTAGCAGCAGCATTCATTACAGACTGTAGGGGTGCAGTACGGCTTTTGGGAAGACCAAGCAGGAGAGGGTTACAATAATCCATGTGTGAAATTATTAGAGCATGGACAAGCTCCTTGGTAGTATCTGGTGCAAGAAAGGGGCGGATGCGGGCTATGTTTTTAAGATGGAATCTACAGGATTTGGCAACATGCTGGATGTGAGGCTCAAAGGTGAGACCAGAGTCAAGTATGACGCCAAGACAGCGCGCTTGCAAGGATGGGCTGATGTTGGTACCACAAACTTGAAGGGAGAGCGAGAGAGGAGGATCAGTATTAGGAGGAGGAAAGACAAGGAGCTCAGTTTTTGAGAGATTGAGTTTCAGAAAGCGGGAGGACATTATATGTAGTTTGTGTTCTGCCCTATATACAAGTCTACACCATTGGTTTGTTTTGTTCTGTTCTCTTTCATGTACCAATGGGTCTAATTGCAAACTCTATCTGAAGGAAAATTATTTGATACAGAGAATTGTGGACTACACCTGGGTGGACTTTTCTTCATAATTTTCTATCATACTTAATATTTGTATGTCAGTTGGCGCAACCTCTATTTTGTTTTTATCTGTTTGTACTTGTTATCAGGGGTAAAGGGAGTCCACCTTTCTTTACAGTGTTTGCAGCCTCACATTACCCACTGGTAATTACTTTTCCACCTTTTATATATATCTTCCATTTCTATTTTATTTTAACCTTCTTCCATTGCTCTATGGTCCAGCTCTTACACTTGTGTCCCCATTAAAGGGACCATCGACAGTGGACAGTGGTCATCACGGGCACCTTGAAAGGTCTGCAGCTACACAATCCCATACTCAGCAAACTGCAATGCACTGTGTGCTCCGACACATTTCTATCATGGCCACCATTAAGTATTTAATCAATTTGCTCTACAGTAGCTCTTCTGTGTGATCAGGTCAGACTGACTACCCTTGGCTCCCCACATACATCAATGAGACTTGGACACCCATGATATTGACACCACTTCACTGGTTGCCCTTCCTTGCACCACTTTTGGGAGGTAGTAACCAATGCATAACAGGAACATCCCACAAGACTTGCCATTTTAGAGATGCTTTAAACCAGTCATCTATTTAACCCTTATCAAAGTCACTCAAATCTTTTCGCTTACCCATTTTTCTTGCTTTCAGCACATGGAATTTAAGAACTGACTGTTCACTTGCTGCCTAATATACCTCACCCATTGGCAGGTGCCATTGTAACGATATAATCAATGTTATTTACTTCATCTGTCAGTGGGTTTAGTGTTGTGGCTGATCAGTATTTATATATAAACATTTTTAGATAATCTGAGGCATTGTGAGTGGGGCTATTTATACTCACTATTTTAATATAACGTTATCCGTGTTATGCTTTCATTATCCCTTTTTTATTTAATAACCTAAACACTAAATTCAGTGTTTATTAAATACCCTGCTTTACCAATAGTACCCGGAAGGGGCATTTGTATTGATAACTTGCTTCACCTGCCCTGAAGAGGTATTTATATTGATAACTTGTTACACCTGCCCTGAAGGGGCATTTGTATTGGAATATTCATTTTGTGCTCTTGGTTATTTTTGTGTATTGTTTATTTACTTTTGTTTTGGGGAGAACACTGTTTTTTTCTAAGTGCTGCATTTAACTTTTTAAGTGCTCATATATATTTTATATTCACTTATTTTTAAAGCACCCTTGCACTTGTTGGCTATATATCTAAACTTCTCTGAGATGCCTGGTTGCATGGATCCTTTGTGACAACCTATTAGCAGTCTCTCTGGTCTGCATTTCATGAGATCAATTTGGTGGAGAGAGAAAGAGGAAATCCTTGCACACTGCCTGTGCTGCATAAATCAATCTATGCTGTCACTGTTAGAACTGAAATACTGCTGGCTCTGTAACAGCCACAATAACAAAATGTGCAGCTAATAGAGCTTCAGTGCTTGATCTCGGGAGGAATTATATTATATTGTATTATGGCTGAGATAATGGTGGAGCTCTGCAACACATATATATATATGCACTAAATATTACTGTGGAGCTGTATAATATACTCATACTCACACTGATATGCACTGCACATTAACACAGAACTCTGTAACACGCGTTCACAAGGTTCTACCCCTTATTTATATACCCACACGTGCCAATTATCCCTCTACTGCTCATAATTTGAATCCTAATATTACCCACGAAAGTAACCTCTCTGTCTATTCAATATAAATTCTATTTTGCCTGGAAAATTAACATCTTTACTCCTTAATCTAGATCCTCACATTCCCATGGTATCTACTACCCTCCAATTACCCAGTTTCCATTTCCATAGGTGATTTCCCCCCTCCTTTTGACTAACACAGAAACATTCACAGACATACACTGTCATACAGACACTATACTTTATCGCATAGAGGCTTCATATATACAAACAGAGTCAGACATTAACATACACATGCATACAATCACACTCACATATCTACAATTACAAACATAAAGTCACTTACACAAACACACATTGACAGTAATACAAATAATTATTTACCTATTCACAGTAGAAGTTAGCTATCTGGCTTTATCATATCACAAAAGATGTACCCTTGATTTTTAAAATCATAGAAGTTTTGAAACTTTGAAACTTTTTTTTTCATTTGAAAGAATCGGTCTGGAGGTCTAATAACATTTATTTCCCAAAACAAAGAGAGCCTGCATCAGCTTATAAATAGGTCAAAAAGTTAATTTTAAAAAATAAATATTTTGGTGCAGCATTGTACAACATGTATTCATAACATCTTAATTTTTTTTTTTTTTTTAATTTGTAGTCACGCTGTAAAAGTATTATATTATTACTGTTTGCCAAAATCTTGAATCTGGAGAATTTTATAGAAGATACGATTTCTGAAATTCTGAATGAATTTGTTATATTGCAGTTTCAGTTTACACAGATAATGTTCACACTTGTTATTATATTTTGTGCCTATACAGTTTTACAGAGTTACAGCAGTGACATGATTTCAAAACTAAATCTGATTATGTATTTTACAGGCATCCGAGAGGGAAATTGTCTGGGTCATGAGAATCACCATATTTATATTTGGAGCGTCAGCAACCGCCATGGCCTTACTGGCACAGTCTGTGTATGGTCTCTGGTATCTCAGTTCTGACCTTGTGTACATCATCATTTTCCCCCAGCTTCTCTGTGTTTTGTTCATTAAAGGAACTAACACCTATGGCTCTATCGTAGGATATGTTTTTGGACTCTTTCTCAGAATTAGCGGAGGGGAGCCATACTTGTACCTACAGGCCCTAATCTGCTACCCTGGTTGCTATGCTGATCCTAGAAATGGTATATACTTGCAGAGATTTCCATTTAAAACTGTTTCCATGCTGGCTTCCTTCTTGGCAAATGTATGTGTATCTTATTTAGTCAAATACTTGTTTGAGAAGGGAACAATATCACCAAAATTAGACTTCCTAAATGCTGTGATAGCCAAGCACAGTGAGGAAATCATGGACAAGACCACTCTAGTAAAAAATGACAATATCAATTTATCTGAGTTAGCCCCTGTCAAGCCAAGACACAGCGTTACCCTTCCTACCACGTTCACCAATAAGGAAGCCATCAGTGACTTGGACTCCAGCCCAGAATCTCCAGAGTTGGAAGATAAGGACATGTGACAAAGCCATAAGAACATTGCTTCTCTCACACTGAAACAATGAAAACTATATTATACTGATACTCATGGGTGAGCAGCGATTTAGTAAAACCACTTTTTTTTTAACTAATAATCAATGTGCAGTTCAATAACCGATAATAAAATAATCACAATCCAATGTCATTGCACAATACCAATATAATTTCACAAGAGAAAACAGGCTCTTTAACCATCCCAGAGATGAAGGCATTTCCTACCCATTGCTGTTCTAGCATTGATTGATGTTCAGTATCATTTTACATGACAGTACCTAACACACCAATTGCATTTTTTATTGATTTAGTTACTTTTTTTTTTTTTTTAATATAACTTAGCAATAAGGGATTAGGTTAGACCAGTAAATGGTCTGCAGAATCTCATTCCTGCAAATTGACAGCATCCCTTTGGCATGTAACAATGGTAGGTTATATAGATACATAGCCTACTTTTGTAGTTTTATTGTCGAAGCCAATATTTCTTATTCGTAAAGTACAGCTTAGAATTCTCAAGTTTCTTAATGTTTGGCTTTTTCTCTTTTGTTGTTTGTGTGGTTTATTGTAATATTGTACAAAACACCAGCACATTTGCACATTTTTTATGCGATTGTTTGCTTGAAACCATTCATCTTTACAGGGATTTGTGCAAATTGGACATCATGGTTTGCTACAATGGCTTTATTGTAAATCAGCCTTGTTCTTCCATATTATTTCAACTATTTTTATAGATAGACCCTTATACGTCTGTCCGATACGTGTCTCTTTTATGGATTATGAAGACAAGCTATGACTATGTATATAAAAAAATGTTGAAGTTCATAATCACGTAAACAAATGTGAATTAGTTAATAATTATTAATTTACTTTATGCATAGGCTTATTTCTATTTTATATCCTTTCAGATACCATCATAATTGAGTGTGCAATAATAAACCGCCCATTTTAAGTGCACGCTTGTTTATATACATTTCAAGCAATGGCCCACATTATCATACCAAACCCTTCATTTTCCTGATGAAGCACTCATAATCAATAACCGCCTGAAAAGAAAAATGTCGCAAGATGTCGATGTAGGTGATACAGATGTAGGTGATACAGATTCTATGAACAAAGCCTGGGCCTGATGTGCTGCTTTTAAAACTCTGACATGCTCTGTTGGATAGAGTTACAATAGAACGTTGCTTAATGTTATTAAAGAGGAGATCTATGTAACAAGTATATGTATATGTAGAAAATGCCTACTTTTATATCATAAAAAAATGAATGCACTCAATAATAATAACATTGTCTAAACACTTGTCTTACATATGTTATGTCTCTATGTTGACTAATCAGATCAAGTGCTTCCTAAAATGCAAATATTCACTGCATTATATGAAATATAAAATCAATCTTAGCAAACATCTAAGTAAAGATAGGCAAGTGTCTTAAGTAAACAAAAATTCAAATCCAGGTTTTCCTCTGGGTTTAATAACCATATCAATAAGGAATCACATGCTTCATCAACTGTCTGTAAAATTTTATTTATTTTTATTGCAACATTAAAATCCACACAAAACACTTTAAATAGAGAAGGCTCAAAAACAAAACATAAAAATAAACTAGACTTGTACACGGTGACAAAACGCCTGGCACTTGTGGCAGGCTTATGCAATGTATGATCATATACTGTAACTAAACCCCCATTATTTATCGCTGGGGGAGGTGGTTTTAAATAAAACTATTACATTATGTGAGACTCGAAATTGCTGTTTAGTGAATGAGTGAGTTCACAGGATCTTGTATGTTATAAATATATTATATATATATATATATATATATAGAGAGAGAGAGAGAGAGAGAGAGAGAGAGAGAGAAGTATTTATGTATATATATATATAGAGAGAGAGATATATTTGTATACATAAATATACATACATATTGTACTGTACACTGATTTTCGTGACATATGGTTCACAGATCAAGCGAAAAGAAATAACCAATAAAAGTAAAAGGAGCAATAAAAAAAATCTATATTTATATATTATATGTTTATTAAATATATAGAGATTTTTTTTTTTAGTGCTCCTCCATTTTTTTCCTCAATTGGTCACTTCTCACTTGATCTGTGAATAAAATCGTCATTTAGTGGCTATCAATCAAATATTTTTGTTTGGCGCCATGGACAGAACTCTGAATCCCAAAATAAAGGAAAATGATTGATGTATTGTCAATTTTGTTTATTTCCTGCTTAATCCATGTAATGTTTCAAAATTTTGGGAATTTAGAGGAACTGCCTGTCGATCGCCCCAAATTCTGACAAATTTAAGTTTTTTATATGCAATGTGTTGCACAAAACTTAATAGGTTTATTTTTAATTTGTTTTGCTGTTCATTTTGTTGTCCCTTTTTGGTTTGGTTATTTAGCCTCACAGAAAACCTGAATTAGAATTTTGCTTAATTAGTGAAGCTCATTTTCTGAAAGGAAGCCCAGCGAGGATGGTCCTATGGTAAGATAACAGTTGGAATAGGATAGGTGTTAAAGTTTACTGCTTGGAGCCATTAGTGTTTTATTTGTATACATAAGTATCTCACAAGGGGCATTACAGTTACCCAGACCACTTTATCTCAATAAAGTGGTATGGGTACAGTGGCTCTGTCCTTTTAACCCTGCAATGTAAAACAATGTAGTTTTTCTATCAATTGTGATGTTTACATTGCAAGATTAAATCCATGTTTAGTGGCTGTCATACTGATCAGTTTTTGTGACGCTGATATGGTTTCACAAAAATCATGCCTGCACCTCCACTCAGGTGCATCTCAAGAGCTACAAAAGTGACCTCCCATATTACCCTATCCAATAGCAAGCAATTATGATAGGCTGATATATGCCATCAAGAATGGATGGGGAAATGCATAAGTTCACATCCATGTTAACTCAGTTGCAGCAAGCCATACTTTGGGTGCTATAAGAGCCATAATTTTTGTTAAATCACTTGAAAATGAAATTCACTATGGTGACGGCAAACAAAGACTCTTTGGTCTATAACCACTACTGTGATAATGATTGTTGACCGTAACTGTCAACACCATACCCACCCAAAGATTGCAATGGGTACTTAACATGGTTGGAGGAAGAGACAGGAGTAATCATTAGTAAATGATGGTTGCTTTGCAAGATATCACAAAATGTCAGTGAATAAAAAACCACAAACATTGACTTAATTTTTACTTATAATATTTACCTAATCATGTCAGCATTCCGGCGGGTATCCTCATCTATAACTGTTTAATGTATGTAACTGTAAATCATCTGGTGTTAATATATACTGTTCCATGTGTCCATTATTCCATTATTACAAACGTGAATATATTTTAGTCTGGTCAAATCTGTCTTATGTTTGTTCTTGAATTGTTAATATGAGTTAATGTGGCATCTATGTTGCAAGCACTATTACCGAATACCTACCCCTGACTGAAAAGCAGAATCTTGTAGAGAACAAAGATATGATTAATGAATTCCTGCTGGCAAACCATTCTATATATATTATGAAATTCTAATTAGGGGCTGCTTCATGTCTAGTACATAAACATTACAAAACATTACAGTGGAATCATTGCAATTACTAAAATGGGTGTAGAACTTGACTGTTGTATATTTTGTGTTAGATAATGACTTGAATATTCCACGTTAGCTTTCAATGTAGATTGTCGAATAAATAATAAACTAGGCTGTAAATCAGAGCAAATTATACCATTATGGGAACACTACAGTGTTTGTGTTTGAGTAGTTGGTAACGGCATTTGGGTTTAATCACTAAACAGTAAGTTGTGATGAGATGGAAACTAACAAGCACAAAAATTGAGTACACTGATATAAAAATAGTCTAGTTAAAAAAAAAATGCAGTGTTGGCCTAGATGTTGGATATATCTCTGTTATCAGTGTATTCAATATGACTTACAGTATTTATCATGTATTTATGTACAATATAATAGTTTAGTGCCTCTAGTGAGCTCTATTAGAAACGAGGGAGGCAGCCATCTTGACGAGGGCTCCAAAAAGGCGACAGCTTTTATTGAAGATTAATTGGTGCCTTACTGCATATGGTATTACCTAAATTTGAAAAACAGAATGATTAGTACTTAATGCAACTCCAAAGCAATTCTAACACGTCTCATTTTGGCAGATACTAAACACATGCCAAAAATGTATGTTCTTTTAAAATCACAGAGTTGTTTTTTAATAGATGTGCATTGGTTATATTTTGAATTGTAATCTATCATTATATGTTGGAATAATAACATAATTATACTTCAGTTAAAAGACATAAGAGGAAATCCTATATAGAGGTGCTGTTCATGCATATAAACAGGTAACACAGAATTATTGTTCATTAACATAAACATGTACACAATATAAATTAAGAGTGTAATGTAACAAGCAATAATCTATTAATTATCCACAGAATTCTGTGTGCTCATTGTAATAAAGAGGAAGAGCAGAGAAGGGGAGAATATTACAATAATATCACACCCACGCACACACAAGTCTCGACACAATACCATAGAAACTTTGGATTAAGAAATGCGCTGTGGAAGATTCTCATAAGATTGTGTTTTATTGATGGCTGAATTAATTCTATTTGTCCAAGAAAATCAATGTTGCCCCGCCTGTTAATCAAAGGGTCAGGTACCATCAGTACTACGGCTTCCATGGTATAAGATCATTTTTCCATATTAACTTGAAATGTCAGTCATTTGTTAGCGTGATGGAAATTAATGTTTATTGTGCATAGCTGCAATATGTTTCAAGTGTCTGCTGGTGTTTACCTTCAAATTGATGTTACAAGAACCAGGGAATGTTTCTTGGATGTCGCTGTCCTTTTACATGAAAGCTTTGGGTGGGGACTATAGAAGGTCCATCAACAGCAGAAGTACTATAGAGTAAGAATATCTCCTATAGATTTGAAGCCAATTAGTCTGGGTCAAGTAAAAAAAAATGCCTGCATTGTGTATATTCTGTTCATAAAATGGAAAAAGTACGTTTTGGAATATTTACAAATGGATATCCAGTATTGTATTTCCCTTTTAAGTGTTATTGTGTCTGTGTATATAGAGAACCTGTATGCTGCGTCAGTTCAGTCTTACAGTATATTTATGTATAAATAAACTCAGAGTATTTTCTGTTTTAAGCAGTAAATATATATTATGACATACTATATATGTCACATTTATTGTGAACATGGAATCCTACATGTAAACCTATTTGTCATTTTGTGGAGAGGAAAATGTGTTGCGAGCCTGCCAGTTTGATATCTCAAATTGTTGTTCTAAAGCATATATTTTTGTTTGTTCAACAAATAAATGTACTAACATGCTTACCAAAAATATGTATGTATTTTTTCAGTGCTAGAGTATCTTAATACATAGTGCCAAAGAAATTCACGAAAAACTGTGCAATGTCACCTTTCTATTTATGTATTATATGTATATTTACATACATTTATTTTATTAGGAGAATAATATTATTTGTTTAGCATAGAGGTATAGATATGCTCTAATAAATTTTCTTATCGAATCAAAACTTGCAATTTTAGTGATTCTAACATGTGTATTTATAGTGCACTGGGAGAGATATGGCATTGCAATGCTGGGAAAATACACAACTGAAATGAACATGATTTCAAAAACAAAACAGAAATTAAAGTATTGCTTCTATTTCTAATTCAGTCAACTGCCATAAGTTTAGCATTTTCAATCCTGGATGTTTTGGTGCATTGTTTTTGCTCTTTTAGTGCTACTAGTTTAGTGTAGCCGTTTTCCTGGCACAAAGCCGTTTTCCTGGCACTAAAGAATCCTAGCCCCCTCATCCCCCCAACCCCTCTGGCATGCTGAAGGGGTTAAGATCCCTTCAGTCACTTACCTGAATCCAACGTCGATGTACATTGGCGCTGGGTCAAGCTCTGGCCCCGCTCGCATTAGGATTTCCCCATATTATTCAATGCTTGCCTATAGGGAAAAATCTGATGCTGGAGGTCCTCATGCAGAGCGTGAAGTCGTCCAGTGTCAGATGATGGACCAAATGTCCATTTCAAACCAGGAAGCCCTCTACTGGCTGTCTACTAGAGGTGGAATTAACCCTGGAAATGTCAATTTCAAACCAGGAAGCCGTCTACTGGCTGTCTACTAGAGGTGGAATTAACCCTGGATAGTAATTATTGCAGTTTCTCAATAATTGCAATAATTACTATTTCAGGGTTAAGGGACATGGAACATTGCACCCAGACCACTTCAATGAGCTCAAGTGGTCTAGGTGCCTACAGTGTCCCTTTAATATGAGTTAAGCAGTAGGTTTAGGGGTAAAAACTAACTCATTTGAGTTAAGGTAAAAGGTTTGAGTTTTAAGTTAAGATTAGAGGTAAAAGTAGATCTATTAGAGTTTGGGGTTTAAGATACTAGGTTTAGCAGTTAAGATAGCACTTAGGTTTAAAAGTCAGGGTTAGAGTTTGAGATTAGAGGCTTTGGGATTAGAAATGTAAAAGTTATATATGTGTTAAATTAGCAACTCAAGATAGTATTGCCAAAGTACCAGTAAAGACCCTTGTATTATAGCCTTGTTTTAATTTCCCATAAGACAGAGTATTTTTTCTATATTAATCAATGACTATTATATTAATTCATATTTTTTTGTGAACAATTTTTTCAGATAGCGCTAGAAATTCCATAGCATACACTGTCACTTTGATACATAAAAACAAAGCCACACATAGGCAGATCCTCAAGTTTACGCTATATTTTAACACAAGGTAACTGCTATGCTCGCTAGCTGGTAAATTATCAATAAAGCAAACTAATTTGAGAGTTTAATTTACCTGTATTTCAATTATAAAATACATGTCTGTTTTGTTTAATTGTAGTTCCATGGAGAATAAATGCACTTTACTTTAATCATCATCCTTACATTTAAAAGTAGCACTTTCAAGGCATCGCTTGCATCTTGAGGTTTTCTTGTTAAACCTAATTTAGAATATATTTCATTCTGCAAAATTTGTAATAAATATCTCAAAGGCTACATCCCATATGGATATCGTGTACACATTAAAATGAACAACTATGATTGTCAGTAAGGGATGAATAAGGTGTGTATATGTCTTGTAAGAATGACATCACTGTATCTTTATCTCTGGAAGCATAATTAGCCAGCATGGTTCCAAACTGACTAATGTTATATCTATGCAGAAAAACATCTAATGCCAGCATGCATAGAATGATAGTGATGGATGTCCATTGGTTGCATGATTCCCCTCCCCCCCCCTTCCTGAGCCCTCCCATAGTCTGGTCTCCATGACTTCCCTCCTCCTGCATTGAGTTGGGGGAGAGGGGTTAATGTAGCAGAAGTTGGATTGGTGTCATGTTGCCTATGGAATGCATCTTTTTGATGCGTTGGCAACCATCCCCATGCTGTATCCTCTCCTTGTATTGATGCTGTGCATCATTATGGCATCAATGTTGCTGTAGGATGCTGTGCTAACATGTCCTTTAACAATGTTACTCCATTTCATCAATTTCAGGAGGCAACCACACTAGCATCATTTCAGTGATCCCCACCAAGTACCTTTTTGTGTTGGAGAAATGATGCTGACCAATAATTTTCCTTTTTCACCTATATATACTGTGACAGAGTCTATGGGAGGGTAATAGAAGGAAGGTATTTAGGACCCAGACTCCTCCATAGCCTGTACTCATTCACCTTCCCAATTAGCAACTGCTGAGGCTTTAATTAGCAGGTCTCAGAGCAGAAAGGGGGAGATACAATCTGACCTGCAGAGAGAGCAGGTCTGTGCTGAGCAGCACCAAACAAAGTGCTAAAGGTTGGTGAAACCAATGTTTATTTTGTTGATTTGTTTAGTTTATTACCCTGGTTTAGTAAGGGACATTACTTTATGTTTAGTTAGTGCTCGAATTTGAGCTAGGATTTTGTTTGTAGACTTTCCTTTCTGTTTTGCTGTAGTTTTGAACAAACGGATTGCTGCATGGATTTTTGTGCACGATGTAAATAAACCATACCATTTTTGCATAAGTGACTGTTGTTCTGTACCTGTTACCCTAGAGGACAATACCTACTGTTCTGTTTCCAGTGTCTTGTCTTGGTTCTTGATATCCAAATGTGTGTTTATTACCTTGTATTGCATTTATTGGTTTTAAACCTGACTTTTGACTATCCTGAGACCTTGGCTTTCCTTATTGTTCTGTCTCACTTCTATATTCTTTGACCTCCTCTTGTGTCTGACTTTGCCTCACCTGCTTACAGGTGTGTTTTCACCCTCCCAAGCCTCATGTTACTAAGTATTGGTAATACATTTTCTCCATTTAGTATAGGACACCATGTGCCTTAGGTGTTGGGGTATACCTGCCTTGACATTAAGAAGCTATGAAAAAGATCCTAAATTATCAAAACTAGATTGAAGTGGTTAATGGTAGAAGAATGAGTCAGATTGTTCCAGACCACTATGATGGTGAATCTGTTGTCAATACTTGAATATATCCCCATCCAAACTGGCATTAGTTGAGGTGCAGGATCCCGAGGTGCAAATGAAATAGACTATAAACCTAAATCATTCAATGCTGTAAATAATTTAGCATGACATATATCAAGTATTGACCCAGAGGGTGAACTGTGTAGTTCTGAGACAAAACAACCAACAGTATGTGAATAATAATATAATATTTTGAACAACCTTTGAACCCAGGAATTTAAGTAACAACAATCCAATTTTACAGGATGCAGTTTTGATTATTCTTTTGAAAATCTGAACACATATGTGTTTGTCCATTCTTTGTGTTTTGCAAGCAAAGAATAAGTGTGTCAGATATATAAGATATGAACAAGAACACTTTTGACACGATAACAAGAACACTGGAAGAGTATAATTAGTATTAGTAACTTTAATGAAGAGGTTTGTAGGCCAGTTCAAAATATATACCAGTGTGTCCAAGAAATTGAAGGGTATTGATTATATGTCATTTTAATATTAACCTTAGGCAAACTGAAAATTACTTGCGCTAAACATATCTGCAAGATTTTCAAAGTCCCTTTAATGGATAGAAAAACAGATTTGAACATACTTGTGAAGCAAACGTAAAAGAATGTAATAATAATATTGTAAATGCTTTAATGTATCATGGCATTGCTGACTTTGATAGTGTAACACAATGGTAACATGATTTTAATTGTAGAAAAAGATGTTTCGAACATATACTATTGCATTTTTTTTTTCTATTAATTACTTTTTCTCACTTGATCTATAAAGCAAATAGTGCTGTTATGTATATATATTACAGTACACTGATTGGCCTATTTTTGTACCCTTTTGGTTCATTTAATTCTTTTTTGCCAAACTGTTTTTATGGACAATTTTTTTGATCAGCCAAACCGCAAATTCTGCCATTGCCCCCAGATTTTTATTTTCTGTTGAAATAAATTTTCCCCCATGCACAAATTGGTTTTAATGCAAGTAGAACTATTCTCCATAACTTTTTTGTACTTTTCTGTGATTCTTTATCTTTTCTTTTTATTCTACCAAGACGTTGCTTTTAAAAAGGAATACATTTGGAACAGCAATTATAAACAGCAATCATTAGTAGAGATGACCAGGGTTTTGCAGTAGTGATAACCTACTTGAAACTGAATGGAACCAGTAGGAGCATTCTGTTGGTGTCTGTTGTAATTGCACTTCTTTTATAAATATGTCCCACATTTCCATTTGTATCACTTCTAAAAAGTTATGCAAAATTGTAAGTAAACATAACTTTGTGCATACTTCCAAAATGAAGAAAGAAAGTGTGTGTGACCAAGTAAAGCATAACATTTTAATAACAGTAAGGAAGTTAATTTGCATATAAATCATTTTCTGCAGTTAAATTACATATACACTAATAGTGCAGGGGGATTTTTTTTTTTTTTTAATATATGTTTAGTGTGCCCAGAAAGCAAAAACTACAGAGCAGAATTTGAAGGTTATTAGATGCCTTGGGGGCTACTAGCCATATTTTTATAACATGTTACATCACTGACCCCACCGCTTATTAATTTTACATAATACAATTAAAATGCTGCAATGAAGGTGGACTATTTTTACATGATTTAGAAGATTTATTATAAAGACAATATGTTTTGTTTTAATATACAACTACTTGGGTAGATTGGGGATCATAGTGATTAAATACATGCTGTTCCTTGCAGTGATTAAATACATGCTGTTCCTTGGAGGTTTTTTTTTTTTTGTTTTTTTTAAGCTATCAGTTC